TTTGGGGTGCTGTGGGGAAGGGGTTGCTGTAGGGTGGGATGGGGTCCTGGCCCCTGGGGGAGACGTGAGGAGTGCCAGTCTCCAGAGTGATTTTGGGGGTGCGAACTGGTCATTGGGTGGGAGTGGAGCCTCGTCCTTGGGACACTGGGCTGTGGCCTGGTCCTGGGGCACGGGAAGGGAAGGAGCCTGCGTCTTGGGTTGGCGCTTAGGTGGGGGGCTGGTACCTTGCTGGCCACCAGGCGCGCATGCAGAGCAGAGCGTTCTCTCCTCTCACTCCAGGGCCCCTGCCAGAATCTCACCTGCTTCCCCCCACACACCAAGTGCTTTGGGACGTGCGACCAGGGCGTGGTGCCCGTCCCACTGCTCCTAAACCAGAGCATCCTGCAGCAGCCGCTCACCTTCCCCCAGCTGGTGCCGCTCTACAACAAGTTCTCTCGCGACTTCATTGCCGACTGCGCCCGCCAGGGCCGCCCCTTCCTGCTCTACTACGCCTCCCATGTAGGTGCCGGGGCAGGTGGCCTGGGGTGGGCATGGGCACCTGGGGGTTGGCCAGGATAGAGGGTAGGTGCAGGCACCTAGATGTGCCGGGGAGGCGGGGCTGGGCATGGCCTGGGGCGGTGGTGAGTAGGCCTAGAGGTACTGGGGGGCAGGGCAAGGGGGCACCTGTACCCCCCCCCTGCAGCACAGAGCATTGGCCGTGATGAATGGCCCTCATTCAGTCCCCAGAGGAAGGGAAAAGCCCCCACAGCTTCCTCCCCGGCCAGGCAGCCCCCGGCTCTGCAGGGAGAGGTGGCTGGTTCCAGCTCTGCAGTCTGCTGCAGGGATCCCCTCTCACTGGCTGCTCTTTGCCCAGCACACCCACTACCCCCAGTTTGGAAGCGAGGAGTACGTGGGCCAGTCACTGCGGGGGCCCTTTGGGGACGCCCTCATGGAGTTTGACGGCTCAGTGGGGCTCCTGCTCCAGGCACTGCAGGAGAATGGCCTGGAGGGGAACACGCTGGTCTTCTTCACTGCGGACAATGGGTGAGTGTGAGCGAGCTGGGGAGCCCCCCCCTCCCACACCTGCCCAGGGACGGGAAGGTGTGGGGCTGAGCACGGGGTCAGGGGTGGGAGTGAGACTCTCAGGGATACGGGAGTGCTGGGGGGAGGGGGTTGGGGGTGAGGCAGGGGGATTTGGGAAGTGCTGGGGAGGTTGGGGGTAGGTGGGGATGGAGCAAGGAGGTTTTGGGGGTGTTCAGGGTGGATGGGGTAGGGGGATTTGGGGTGCTTGAGGACTGAGGTTTCAGGGGGTGCTGCAGGGGTTGGGGGCAGTTGGGGATGGGGCCCAGGGATACGGGGTGCTCGGGGCAGGGGCTGACAGGGACCCTC